AGATTCATTTTCAAATTTTCTCTTTATAAATTTTTTAAAAGGTTAGTTTTTCCAGATTTTCTTTATTAAATAAAGTGTTTGAGATTTTATTATCGTCATGAAATTTTAATATAAAACATAATTTCCTAGAAAGTACCACAATGGCCCCCCCCCCCCCACCACCTCTATTTTTTTAACTCTCTCTCCTTAAACATAACATCAGTGAAAACTAGAAAGACGGCAAATTTATAAGACAATATTGGTACAACTTTGGAACCTTGTAGCTCCTCTAGCTCACGCCCCACCGGTGTACATTTGAATATCCGAGCTGGGCCAACCTTTGCAGTCCTACTTTAGATTGTACCGCCAATTTACAATTTCTAATTTTACGCCCTTGTTTTTCTGCATAGCTATTACATTTTAGAAGTTATGATTGAAAATATATAAGATTTCAATCTTGTTGCAATTTTCTTTAGTTTAACGTGATCTAGACTAGAATAGCTAGAGCTGGGGGGATCTCTTGGTCTTGTCAATTTAAAATCCCATGTTTAATTAGAGAAGTGTTGAATTTAATGTTAAATATATAAGGTTTATGTTTGATAGTATAGTACACAGTAAACTTTATAGTAGTTTATATATACACTGTTTTACTGTTAATTTATATACAAACTCTCAGTACAGTTCAGAGAGAGTTGTATCTTGATTGATACATACTAAAGAATACAGAGGGAGTTGTATCTGGATTGATAATACTTAAAGAAATATCTGAGTAAGGCCTTTAATACACTTGTATACACTATATCCCCCCCCCCGCTCCCTTCATGATCAAAAATCATAAAACGGATCAAAAAAGTAATTAGAAACTGCACATTCTCACATATATTCTCCTTCATAATTCCTACATTCCTAATTCATTTAATTAACCCTAAACAGGCTGGGGAGGGGGCGTTTGGCATCTATGAAAAAAATCTAAAATAGTCCATAACTTTTTTGTGACTAAAGCTACAAATCTAAAAACTATATTTTTGAAAGCCCTTGAAAAAAGCTTGTAGAAACATGTTTCACACTTTGATATTTGTTTGAAACAAAAAAATATTTTTTTCATTTTTTTCATCCTTTCTAGGCATTTTTTCAACCTTCCCTAGCACCCAAACTATTAAAGTTATCGGTCTAAATTTTTTTTTGAGCTGGCCATTAAAAAATGGTCTATGAATATGCATTTCAACCCTACATATTCTCTAAGGCCTTTTTCTCGGGGGGGGCGCCAAACACCCCCCCCAGGATAGACATAGATTCAGACCCCCCAGCCTTTATAGGGTTAACATCTGTTAAAAATTTAAAAAGACTTTAAATTTCCTTTTTTGGAATATTTTGTTGGGAACTTTTTGACCAACCCTGTAATATGAATAAGTGGTGTGAGAATAGGGTTTATATTATATCAATAATATAGATCTAAAATATGTATCATGTATACAGAGTGTCCCAATGAACATTGGAGTTAAGAGACGTCGTCTATTTTTCTGACGTTTTATCGATTACTGGAAATAAATCAAAAAGTTATCCTTGAGTTTTATGTGTTTTAAAATTGGCGGAAATATTAGTTATTTTACATTTTCAGCGCCATTTAATGAATTGAAATCGAGACAAATCGCTTTAATATCACCGTCACCATGTATAAAGGGTATACGAGAGGGTAGATACCTCAGAAATCCCCAAAAGTGATAAAAGTCATGGCTTAAGATTCCATGTTTATAGGAACACACTGTATATAAATGTATTTGTATCGGAAGCTCTCTCCAGGTTTCCATTACACATAAATCATCTCGTAGATGGGCATATTGGTACCTATCCTTATACCATCATAGTTATATTATAGATAGATAGATAGATAGATAGATAAATAGATAGATAGATAGATAGATAGATAGATAGATAGATATATATATAGATAGATAGATAGATAGATAGATAGATAGATAGATAGACAGATAGACAGATAGATAGATAGATAGATACGGTACTTATGTTGATTTTTACATTTTTACACTTACTTATTATGAAATAGATTTGATTGATAATCAATATAAAAGAAAACTTGGGAGGAAAGGATAGATAGATAAATTGGGTAAGGTTTGTAAATTTCGGAATTTTTAAACTTTAAAGAATATTTTATCTTTAATATTTAATGTTTTTAATATCTCAGCTCTGGGCTAGTTTTCAATTCTGTTGTCTGTGTGTTTCTCTGTTGAAGGAATACATTTTCAATATTCTAGATTTTTCAGAAGACGGGTTACCAAGAAGAATTATGAAAAATTATGAAAATACTAGGCTTTGATCTTGAATTTCAATTTAAAAAATTTAATTTCTTTTGCATAAAATCATATTTTTAAAGAAAATTCATTCTTTCTTTTTATATAATTAACTTTGAATTTGTACAAACCAACTTTTCATTTTGATCGCATGAAAAATAACTAATTTACGTATTTTTTCTACTTGTCGAAATTACAGCTTGTTCTTCATTTGTGTAGAGTTTGCAACTTTTAAATAGATGGAAATCTTTTTAATGAGTTTAACTTATTTTTCATTTTGTCGCATTCTCCGAAATTCAGAGAGAAGTATTTAACTTATTTTAGCCGATTTTTTTTATTTCATTAATTAGCTAGTAACCCAGCTTTGCTTAAATCTTTCCTCCCAAAGTCAACTCATTAGACTTATAACTTTTTAACAAAGTTAAGAGCATTCCCATGATTCTAATGAGTTACCAATTAAAATTTGAGGTAAATCGGATAAGGAGTTCACGAGTAATGATTGGGCATACAAACATACACACTCTATACATATTTTAGCTTGGGAATCCAGCTTTGCCCGGAGCTTTCCTACCAAAAGTCAATCTACTAAACCTAGAATTTCGAAACCAAGTTAAGGACATTCCCGTAGTTCTACCGAATTAAACAATTAAAATTTAAGGCAATTCGATCCATGGGTTCATGAGTTATGATCGGACATCCAAATATCCTAACAGAGCTCTCTCTTGTATGCCGAGTCCACTAGCGCCTGATCCAATCAGGGTTCAGTCATATGTTTGGTGTCTATTCTGAACCAATAGAAATAGTATGGCGGTAACATCTATCTTTCTATCTATCTCATTATCCAATCAGAATTATGAATCCTTGTATCGGCGCTAATAGTAAATGGAAATATTTACTTCTACTGAAACTATAGTGAGAGGTAAATAACTACTTTATATGTTTAGATAGATGATATATGCAGGGGCGTAATCAGCTGGGACCAACATTTTTTTTAACTTATATATAACCCCCCTTAACTTATCCAGGGATCCAGGAAGGGGGAGGCTCAACCCCCCTCTCCCTGTTTACGCCCCTGGGTATGTGAGTTTGTTTAATGTGAGGGGTAAAGTTAACTCATCATTTAAATGGAAATTTTCTCAACTTTATCAATTTTATTCTCTTTGATATGTTAAATAGGAAATAGATCTTTATAATACAAACTTTTCAAAATAAAAATAATTTAATATCGTCATTCAAAACTTTTCTAACACGTCATTAAATTTGTTTGACTGATTTAAAAATTGAAAATCCCCCCCCCCCCCACACAAAAAATTCCCATATATTTTTTGGTTCGTAGGTTTTCTCATGGGTTCTTCCGAATGCTAATACTGAGTGAAGACTAGAATTTTTTGGGGGGGAGGGGGGAATTGTTAATTAAAAAGTACTAACAGAAGTGTGAAATTTTGCATTTCATTGTCGCATGTTTACTTAGTCGCCATTGTTTTGAAAAAGGTAAACCCTGGAACTCGAATGGTCTGCTTATAAACTTAACAAATGTTTATATCTAAAGAAAATATGCATAATTCCATGCAATATACCCCTGTCTATAATATAGCTCATACATCAAACCTCATAGGTATTCATATTTAGAATAATATTCAGAATTTATTTTATTATTTCTAGAAGAACTGGTTAGATCAGCAGTTCCACGTGTTCAGATTTGATGGTTCATAGCTTGCGGATTTTCTATTGTTTTGGCGCCAAATTTAAAGTGTATTTCTGGCAACATAGTTCCAAGGATTCTTTGTGCTTGCTGCGGACATCATTTTATAGATTTTTATAAGACGAGATAAACCAGGAGGAAACATCTGTATTGTTATGATGTTTTTATATTACATACTTTAACATGAAGGGGTTTAACAAAGCATGATACACGGCCGATATTTTCCCGGCTATTACTGCTTGATTCTGGAAGGTTAGGCCTTCTATACTCTATAGAACAGGGTAACATACCATATCTATTCATTTTATTACACAAATATTTCACCATGTTACTTCTAGGTCGGGGAGTTGTTCTTTTAAACTTGAATCATGTTTATTTTCCAAAATATTTGGGAACGAAAGATTTATCAATATTTTCTTCTTTCGAATTATTAACAGAAGTTCAAAGAAAGAAGAGATTAAAAAATAATCATACATCAAATAATAAAAGTTTATGTTAACATTCCAATTTACTATTAAAGTTTAAAGCTTCGGACAGGTGAGGAGAGTCGATCGATGGTATACATGTAGTAAACGCCTACTCGAAAAAGTATCTATCCAGGTACAACTCAGATTCTCTTGACTATCAATGTCAACACACGGCTACAATCATGTGAACTATCAACGCCACTACCACTAGGGGCAATCTTGTAAGCTATCAGTGTCAATAAGGACACTAGCAATTAATTGATCAATGCCTAAAAAAGGACATGATCCACACGGCTAAAATCCTGTGAATGTGTCATGCTTTACGCACACGCTGAACCGGGACATGACCAAGATGTAATTTATGTTCTCTGTTACATACAATCTAAGTTCTTCATCCCTGGATTCTGCAGAATAATCAATGATATGAAACCCTGTCCAAATTGCATCAAATTGACCAAGAAAAGGCTTATGTTCTTAATGTCAGGCAGATATTTTAAGCCGCATCCTGTAAGTAAATCTAGCTCTGACCCTCACCAATTGAAGATGAACGATGAAGAACTCCTGACCTGGATTCACCTGGTCATTGACAAGCTCAACAATTGGCCCCCAATCCTGGGTGCTCCCTTGGGAATCACCCTCACACCCAACCATGTACTCCTTGGACTCTGAGAATGCTAAGGGGACGAGATCAACCCAGACATAATAGGTGGAAAATAGTACTCAACCACTTCAACTCTTGGTGACATTGTCCTCTTCTAGAATGAGCCCATATACCCTCATAGTTTCTCAGCTGCCATAGTTCAAGACCTTCTCTGCAGAAAGAAGGAAGCCATATTTGGGGCTTCAATCAACTACCGGAGAAAAATAGGAGGAGGCAGCATGACTGTCAACAGACACCTCAACCAGCTTTATCCTTTCATGGGTGTAGAGTAACCACAGCCTAAGGATCATATTCAAGGCCTCACAGAGAATAGAGCAACGGAGACCCTAGCTCCGGAAGCAGGAACTGAGATTGGAGCAGCTTGAGACGAGTTCCATGCCGGAATTCATCCTCAAGACATCACTCAGATTGATCCAAAATCACATTCAAACTGTGAGCTCCGTCATCTATTTGCTGCTTAATTGTCATATACCATCAATTTCAAATTTTTTGTCTATTAATTTAGTTGTTCATACAACAATTACAATTTTTTTATTCTTCTTAATTTTATTTATTTATCCTATCTCAAGTCTCAAATCAGTTCAAATTAAATCTACACTTTACATGTCAATGATCAAGAATTCTATTAGTGTAATACAATTATTAAATTTTATTCTTAAATAGTAATTTATACATGTACATATATCCCTATCTATACTTTCCCATTCCTGTCAATCAATCACATTTTAATCAATCAATCCCATATTCCACTTTACCCTCAATGCCATGATTTATGTTCACCTTTATTCTCATATTTTCATCTTTATCAAAACCCCTCTCGGAGAAATTCCAAACCAAAACAATTCTCCAACAAATTTCTCTTTACCCTCCAACAGTGAAACGTTTTACTAGTGAAAGATCAAATCCCCAAATGACTTTGGAATTCATAGTAAATTCCACTTTAAAAACTGGGTTCATATTTTCAGAAGTATTTACAAATACATTTTACTATACATTTACATTATAACGATAAAAGGATTATTGTTGGACCAACTAAAGTTGATCTAAATATACACGACATTCACTTGGGGGGAAGATATTTCCATTCGACTCTTCTGTTCAGATGCTTCATGCTAACTAACTCACCTGTGGAACTCTGGAACTAAGATGGTGTTCGACTTGCTATCTCTAGATAAGAAATTGGGGTCCATACCCTTGTTACTCCTTTATCCAGCATTGATCCTTGCACCCAATGGCCGGCGGTGATATCTCTAGAGAAGAGAAGGAATTCAATACTTTCACTGTGATGTATTTAAGGCTGCAAACATACCCGGAGTTCAATACCCTTTTTGGACTGGATCTAGATTGTTTGGCTTTATTCTTAGATTGTATTTGTTAGGTGCATTATTTCCAACTGGGATCAAATGAACTTATATCAGATTATGTACATAGGGATGAACCCTGGTTGGGTTCACACTGCGTTTCTACAACTCTACACTCTACGCTTTCTACAGTTTTTAATTTTGTCTATCCATGGATCGTAAGTTCTACTGTTGACTGTTTCGAATTCAATAAGAAAAATAATTCATTTAATTTTCGATTTCAAAGCCTGCACACAATACATAATGGAAATATATTTAAAGATAAAAGGTCAAACTGTACAAATTTAAGCTCTAAATGTTGGTAAATTAAAAACTTTGATGTTTTGTTAAACATTTCTTTAGATTTAAACATTTCGTGAAATAATGAAATTTTGTTACTGTAGGGATTACTGGGTTACTAGGTTTTCCTCAAATGATAATCAAATTGAAATATAATTATTAATTATTAAATTTTGATAAATTTTTAAACACAAGTTGTAAGATTTGTCTGTATAATCTGTTGTGAATTGAATATGTCCAATTCACCATTCTAACAAGAAAAGATAACTGGCGTTGCTGGATTGCCTGGCGTTGCCCATGGAAAAATTTCAAATCGAATTTTAAAAAAATTAATTTTTAACAAAAAATTGATTTTGGGTTTCTTTAAAAATCACAACCAATTTGGTTCAGCCGTTAGGCCAGCTGTGGCTGACATATAAATATATAAATATATATATGAGCGAAGAGCATTATTACATAGATGAATGATGCATTTATGATTTCATTTAAAAAATTGGTTGCAGTAAACTGTGAGAATGTAAATCTTTTAAAATTAGAAAAACGTCGATATCTTCAACATTACATTAAAGAGCATGGCCCTCTTTAAATGGAGAGTCGGTTAAAATTACATCAATTGTCCTTTTAGCTGAATTTAATTAAATCCAAGGGTTGAAAACAGTTTCTAATATAAACTTTCTTTAAGAACTTTGCTCTAAACACTTTTTTGAGCTTAATTTTAGTTTTAAAGTATTTACTTTTGCAATAGACAAAAATATAATTAAAATAACATTTATATATTTCTATTTTATAAATCTAAATATCTAATAACTTTCATTGTCCCTGTATCCATCCTGCATGTAGCTTTTAATATATATGTTGTATCATTTCTTATTCTGTATTCGGTATATTCTTCTATTCCATGCAGTTTTGTTTTACAAAAAGTTTTACATTAAAAAAGTGCCAGGAATCTAAAACTCAGGACTTTATATCCAGTGACATCTTGTCCTAGACGACTTCAGAAAATTGGGCCTTTTTAATTGAAGTTTTTATTTCAAAGCTTTTTTCCCAGAAACTTTTTTTCCTGTGACTTTCCTACAGATTCCATCGTTCAATATGGGAAAATAGCCAAAATTGTAATTTAAGACCAAGCGAAGGTAAACGGCAGTATTAACTATGAGTATCCTGGGCAACGCTGGGTTCTCAAGCTTGTATTGTATATTTTATACAAATCTTTAATTTAGAATATAAACCTACATTCTAATTTTGTCTTAAACCTAGATAAGCCGTTAAAAGGGGGAGGGTAGGGATACAGAAAGGGCCGGGGGGAGGGGAAAAGGATGGGGAGCATTAAAGAGAAATATTAGGAAGGAGGTCGGAGAAGAAAAGGATTAGAAAGGAGCATTTAAGAGAAATATTAGGAAGGAGGTCGGAGAAGAAAAGGATTAGAAAGGAGCATTTAAGAGAAATATTAGGAAGGAGGTCGGAGAAGAAAAGGATTAGAAAGGTGCATTTAAGAGAAATATTAGGAAGGAGGTCGGAGAAGAAAAGGATTAGAAAGGAGCATTTAAGAGAAATATAAGGAAGGAGGTCGGAGAAGAAAAGGATTAGAAAGGTGCATTTAAGAGAAATAAGGAAGGAGGTCGGAGAAGAAAAGGATTAGAAAGAAGGATAGATGAGAAGTATTAGGAAGAAGGGCAGAGGAGAAGTATTAGGAGGAAGGATGGAGAAGATGAATTAGGAAAGAGGTTGGAGAAGATGCATTAGTAATGAGGTTGGCGGAGAGGAATTAGGAAGAAGGATGGATGAGATGAATTAGGAAGGAGGTTGGAGGAGATGAATAAGGAAGGAGGATGGAGGAGAAGAAATAGTAAGGAGGTTGGAGGAAAAGAATCAGGAAAGAGGTTGGAGGAGATGAATTAGCAGGGAGGATGGAGGAGATGAATTAGGAAGGAGGTTGGAGGAGATGAATTAGGAAAGAGGTTGTAGGATATGAATTAGGAAGGAGGTTGGAGGAAATGAATTAGGAAGGAGGTTAGAGGAGATGGATTAGGAAGTAGGTTGGAGGAGATGAATTAGGATTAGGATGGAAAAGAAAGATGAATTAGGTTAGGAGGTTGGAGGAGATGAATTAGGAAGGTTCATAAAATATAAGTATTTGGAAGAAAGGATGGATTAGGATAGAAAAAAAAACAGCCTTAAAATAAAACCTTAACACAGAGACAAAAATGAGAAAATAGGAATCTTGTTCAACTTTCTTTTATCAAATATTCAAAAATTCTAGACATTTATTTTCACCTAAAATATTTGACACTTGTCATATTTGGTTTTCAAATCATGTTTGAATAAAATCTATGAAAAATTGTAAAATTTAAAGCATTTTCTCCAAATCTGAAAATACGGTAAATAATTTAATATTTTTTTCAGAAACCCTTTTAACCTTTTTCTGTGGTTTATTATTTTATGCTAGCTCTAAAATTGCAAGATTTCTTTTTACCACTCTAAAATATAGAAATAATTTAAAACTTGTTAATCTAAACACTCTACACAGATAGACAGATAGTCAGATAAACAGATAGACATATAGTCAGATAAACAGATAGAAAATATAGGAATAAACAGATATAGAAAGACAAATACGCTGAAAAAATGAAATAACATGACAAATAGACAAATAGACATATAGACTGATATACAATATACATTTCATTTTCATCTAATTGGCTTGGCGGTTTGTTTTTACGGTTCTATAGCTTGCTGAAACTAACATATTATAAGTTGAGAAAGGTTTTGTCGAAACTTGCATATTTAAAAAAAACCTGAAAATTTCCACACAAAAAAACAATTTAAACTTCCCTTGGCCAAATAATGTGTAAAAATTTACTGTTTACATTATACACATGCATACATGTACACTGCAGTGGTTAATGTAAACAAAAAGTCTCATGGAGGAACCATGTACGTTGTTTTGTTTTCGAGAAACACGTAAAAAAATATTCTTCAGAATGGAAATTTTTTCCAGTAGCGCATTTTACCAAACGTTGTTAGTTTTACTTCTGGTTTTGTCTTTACATAAGTTTAAAAGGCTTTAATATAATTTTGGTACCTTGTTACGGAACAATTTTGTCTGAAACTTTCCAAAACGATATTCCCGATTTACGGAACGTTTTCCATGATGGAAAGGGAAACAATTTCCGGATTATTTCCGTACGGAAACCGTAACTCGGAATTCCGTTGGAAACCCCAATTGATATTCAGATATAGAAAAATAGACAAATAAAAAATTTAAATATTGAACCGCTGTTTATAATACATAATAAAATAAATACAATTACAGAAGTTAAATAGATATAATACTGATTTAACTGTTCGGTCCTTGTCTCAGCAAGATG